ATAAAGAATACAGTGAAAAAACAAAATGAAACAGAACAAAACATAGAGTATAAGAATTATCACAATAGTAATAAAAAAGAAATGATATGATGCAATGTTGATGAATAAAATACAAATTGATAGAATCAATAGTAGATGTTGTTTTTTTTTTCTACTAAAAAGGTATTCGATTACTTACTATTTTCTCTCAATGAACATAAAATGTACTATTGGTGGCTGAATTCTTAACCAATGATTGTCCAATATATTCTTTCAAAAGCATACAATGTGCAATATAACTTGTATAGCATTTTACAATTTTTAGAGAAATATCAATTCCATACCGTATTGCGTCATAACGAATCAAGTCATACACAACACTTTAACTTAATTCCAGTAGTATGAAGCATTGATCTTGATTATTAAAACATTCAAAACGAAGCCATTCTACATTTCCTACTCAATAGTTGTTGTCTAATATTATCGATTCATCTTCCTGATCGTTACATCATACAGATCTGTCATAGCTACTAACATACAAATCATCATTGAATGCTATACATTCATTGCAACAGACCTCTTTCTTTTATTGAAGTAGATTAAACAAATCCGTATATCTCATTCGGCAATGGCTCTAGGATTCAGCAAACGGCTGTCGCAAGAACATATAAAAGTTAATGAATATAACAGGGTGCGAGTTAGGGTATTATCTTCAATGACTATCACACTCATAACCACTCTTAATCAAATATCGACATCCACACCTTGAATCGAAAGTAAATAATGACTGTTAAAAAGAGACCTGTATAGGTCTTTTTATATTCAACCATTGAGCTATAGAATTTTCAGTCAATAAGAACTACTCTTTTCTAGCTCAAATAATTCGGTTGGTTTCTGGTGCTTGTGAATAGAAACGACCTACTTTCGGTATATTTCTCGAGGGTTTCTGTCACTTCCCGTCCGAATGCGATAAAGTCTGAGCTTTGATCAGGAGTTTTGGAAAATATAGGCTTTTGTATGAATTCAGTTTTTCTAAAACATAATATTTCGTTTGAGATTTTACAAAACTATAGCATTTTTTCTACTTATTGAATGGATCTAGGTGTAGCTAAAGGTAAAGAGATGATAGACGCTCACATCCAATTCCATCCAATATCCCAATTTGTTTGAGCTAAGTCGGAAGAGGAGACTTTTTTGAAAAATCCTATAAATTATGTTTTCATCGTACTGGCCTATTACTTCTAAAGATAAACTCAGACTCTATAGATTTAAACATTGAAAATGAAAACAAACATTACCAGCGGACTCAAAATGGTTTTCGAACCATATGTTGATTTGTTTTCACATGATCTAAAGCCAATTGATCGAAATTCTGGTTCTCTGAAAAAATTTTACGATTTCTCAACGATGTGTTCTAAAAATCTCAAATTTGTATAGACCTATAGAGCTTAAGATCATCTTTAGAAATAATAGCGAGTACGGTGAAAACATAATTTATAGGCTTTGTAAAAAAAAATATTCTCAAAATATTCAGAAGAAAGCCATCTCATGGCTAATATGGAACTTATTGAATTTAACATAGTTTGATGCCATCGAAATTCCTCATATGAATGGCAAGAATCGTAACTCGTTGTTTACCTTCTATGAAAATTTGCTCAGAAAACAGAAACGCTTAATCCGTTTTGGAAACGGCAATAATTTTTATTGCATGATTCAGTTGATGCTGTGTACTCGTTTTTTTTGTACATTTTTATGTGATATATATATAAATGAATGAAATATCGCCAAAAGCTCACGATAGCACGTTGTTTTATACGTTCATCTAAGAAGATTTGAATCGTCAAGATGCAGGAAAGAAACGAAAGTGTGTATATATTGTGTGAAATGTATTATGACTAAACACTTTATTTTAATTTAGACCGAAGAACTTCAGATAACACGTGGATTTTTCAAAAACAATCAGACCTAATAAACTGTTTAGCTGTTCGAGCAATTTTACGCCTTTTTGATCTTAATGCATAATAACATTTTGATCGATGTTAAAGAAGCTGAAGAAGTTTTGTTTGAACAAATAAATGAATTAATTGATATTATATCAAGCGATGACTTGAATATGATTAATGAAGAAGATGCTTTTGGTGTCTCTATGCAATAAATTTCATATGATATGTTTAACAAAGAAATCAATATTCATCTAAAGTTGTTTTTTTTTGCAATTTCATTCAAGAAACAATCAATAAACAAGAATTTATTTAGATATTAGGATATGTTTTATATACATTAATTAGGGTGTGGTGATTGAATAACAGACGAACAATACCTACACTCTTTGTTAATTCCATTACGGAGCATCATATCCATACCAACAGAACAAGCCTCATTTTTATCCGTTTGAAAGAAGGATTGAAAATTAAATAAACATAAGAAACAAAGAATTAACTTATCTTTGGTCTGTTTATACGCTTTCTCATCTTCCACAAATATTTTGCTTCATTCACTTTGTTTTAATGTCAAAAAGAGATGGTGAGAAATAATAACAGACCAAGGAGAAAAGCGAAACTCTTGTAGTCCAGAGTAAAGAAGTTTCTCTTTCTCCCCCTTGTAATCGATAAACATGAGTAAAATGCTTTATTTCAAATAAATTCAATTAACATGAAAATTATGATTTTAAGATGTTAAAAGCTATGATAACATGTAGACAACAATCATAAAGTTTGTTTGTTTTGCTTTTTAATAATATTTACAAGTCAGGTACGAGCTGTTTTTTTTTTGTATAATTTTTCATTAGTTTTCAATAGCAACCAATCAAGCTGAAATATAAGTAATAATATGTCAGAGTGTTTTGCGAAATGCATTCGGTGAAAGAAAAACAAAAAATGAAAGTTACAGTAAAGAAATTCAAAAGAAAAGCAGACATCATAAATAAAACAAATTCCGTTATGGTTTCTATTTCTTATGATTTCGATCCTTCAATAATCAAAACAACCGCATTGTATAGTGCATTAATAGAATGAAATATTTTAAATATCATATACGCAATAATTTTCACAAATGACATCTTATTTAATTGTGAATCATGTTGTTGAAGGTTTTTTTTTAGTTGTTGATTAAGTCGCTCGTCTTGATGATGTCTTATAGCACTAAAGAGAGAAGGTCCTCAACTGATTCATGCCATATTCAATGATATTTTGTTCATATGTCGGGAAGGGGGGGAAATATTATATTAAGAAAAATTCTACGAAAGATTAGGCTGATCGGGCTTACTTCGAAGGCTATGACAATTTTATTGGCTTCTCCACTTATTGGAATAGTCTAAAAGTTTTCATAGAAAAAAAATGTTTTCTTGATGACAAATTCAATTTGAAAAAAGTCAATTTTTTCAGGATTTTACAGAATATGAGCCAAATTTTTACGAGTCGACATCTTTTAAAAGGAAACATTTTTTTTTTCAATTGAAACTTTTAGAGTGTTCCAATAACCATGAGAACTACACATAGGCGTGTGAATTTAGCTTAACAATAAAGATAAATGTAAACTATCACCAACAAACCAAAATAAGAAAAAAAATAACTTGTGTTTTATACTATTCACTGAAAACAACCTTCATATTTTTGATCAATAATATTAAAATGCTCGATGTTTTTAAAAAAAATTAAAATTAATACATTATGATAAATCAGAAAGAAAGCATGTGTAACTCTCCTGTTGTACATCAATATTATCTTACTATTTTTCGTCATTTAGAATACAAAAAAAAAGAAAAGAAAATACGATGAGAATCGAACAGTCCCACATAATTATCTAAATGTTAATGACGTTAAGTGTGGATCGATGACGATGAAAATAACTATCGTCATTACATTGAGAATGATTCGAAAAAAAACTGTTATTAATCTAAGGTCAAATAGAATAATTAAGAACCAAGTATTGTTTGAAGATGGTAAACAGTAGAATGTGATTGAAGTATGATACACCTTGAAGAAAGTAATGAAAACAAATCCGTAATGTGCATTGAAGTTCGCTTTTATTTCCTTGATGATATAGATGTGTGCAGGTAGGCCTAGTTTTTTTTTGTCATCCATATTGGACTATATGAATCAATTTTCTTTTTGTACAAATCACTTTCGATCGGAAAATTCAAACAATATTCAAATTAATGAGTCATTTTATTCAAAATTTGCTAGTAAGTCTATTAGATGAAATCTCTTTGTAGGTTAATACTGATAAAGTCGACAAACTAAAAGGATTCGACTATTACAAAAAATTTTTGCTCGTAAAAGTTCTTGGTAGAAACTGCTGTATTGGTTGTTCTTTTTAACTGTCGGGTGGAAGCGATTTGATGCCATGGTCGTTGATAGCAAAAAGCCAATCTGGCTCAATGCTATTTACGCCGTCAAATGGTTCTTCTTGATATAAGTGTTTGCCATTAGCTAGAGTAACATCGATTTTATGGACTTGTGAGTTATATTCACATCCACCGTCGCTGACAACTCTAGGCGCCACTTTATGTGTTTCACCTTGACCTAAGTTAATGCTGTATTGGTTATCAGTGCTATCTTCGGATTCGTGTCCAAGTTTGAGGTAGGTCACTTGAATTTGAACATCGCCTGAAGACTCGTTTCGAACCGAGCAGCTTTTAATAAATTTTGGAGCTGAAACACAGCAGCCTCTGCCAGCCATTGTCGTCTACTATTAGAATTGCTTGTTGATTAATATAATAATCGATGCACACAAGTCAGCAAGT